TGGCAGTCAAAAGTTTTCCACTTCTGCGCACGGAACCATCCTCCATTAAAACCATTACTTAATTTAATTAAAGTATATGTACATATACAATCAGCCCATTTAGTTTTAAAAACTACAATGTCGAGGAGAAATGATCGCAAAACCGCAGTGCAGGTAATTAATCTTTTGAAAAGAAAATCTTCGGCTGATAAACGTCCTGTAGCGGTGAATGTGGAATCTGACAAACTTAGAAAAACTTCGACTGATGATCATCATGTAGCGGCGGAGTTGCTAGTACCTGATGAAGAATCAGAAATGACTGATCTTACATATGATTCAGATTCAGTTGTAGAATTACGATACCATGTGCCCGAAGTTGGGCTTAGTTGCCCTAATGCAAATACTCGCGCTAAGTTGGCAAAATGGGCTGTACAACATAACATAACAACTGCTGCTTTAAACGGTTTATTAAAAGTTCTAAAATCAAATATACCTGACTTGCCAGCAGATGCTAGGACGTTAAAACAAACCCCTAACGAAATTATAGCTAGAAAAATGGGACCAGGTGAATATGTTCACTACGGACTTATCGATTGTTTGACAGACTTCTTAGAAGGTAATGTTTTTAAGGATAGAACAATCCTTCTTAATATAAATATAGATGGATTGCCTCTTTGTAAGAGCTCGCGATTACAAGCATGGCCCATTTTAGTAATAATTCACGGCACTTCTGTTGTACTGATGGTAGGTACTTATGAAGGTATAAGTAAGCCTCAAAATGTTAATGAGTATTTGCAATTTTTCATTGAAGAAGTTTGCCAATTAATTAATGAAGGGATTAGTTATAAATCGAACTTTTATGAAGTAAAATTCAGGGCCGTTATATGCGACGCACCAGCAAGATCCTTTGTTTTAGGTGTCAAAAGTCATAGCGCATACTTTAGTTGCATAAAATGCCAACAAAAAGGCAAACATTTCGAAAATAGGATTACTTATGAGTTGGAAAATTCTATGCTTAGAACTGATGAGCAGTTCCGAAATAGATGTGATCCCAACCATCATAACGTAATGACTAAAATGGCTATTGAGCAGTTACCTATTAATATTGTGACTCAAACTGCATATGACTACATGTACATTATTTGCCTGGGTGTCGTTAAAACTCTACTTAATTCATGGATTTCCGTAAGACGGAAGAAATATTCTCTAACAAAGGAGAAGATCGAAATATTAAAACAGCGTTTACTTTTATTGAAACCAAATATATCAAAAGAATTCTCGAGAAAACCAAGGCAATTTTGTGACTTAGACAGATGGAAAGCTGTTGAATTTAGACAATTTTTAATTTACACTGGTCCTGTCATATTAAAAGATATTTTATCTGACCTTCGCTACAAGCATTTTTTAAAATTGAGCTTGGCTATAAGGATTTTACTTCATAAGAGCCATTGCTTAACTAACAATAGTTGTGCGAGGGAACTTATTACTGATTTTATAAACGAAGTACCCGATCTTTATGACATAGCATTGCTCAAATATAACTTTCATTGCCTTTTGCATCTACCTGACGAAGTTCTAAATTTTCGTGAAAACCTGGACACGTTTAGTGCCTTTAAATTTGAGAATCACTTGTATAAAGTCAAGCAAATGGTTAGGAAGGGAAACTTTGTTGCGTCTCAAATATATAATCTTCTCGTTGAGCAAAGCCTGCAAGTCACCAGAGAAGAATGCTCAACTCTAAGTTTGGAAATAAACGCTGAAGGCGAACTATTATCCGTAACCAGTCACAATATGTTTTGGTCAAAAAAGTTCCCAGACAATTTTTACATTTTTGACGGCAAAATTTTTAAGATCCAGTCCTTTTCAATTTACGAAGATAAATTGGTTCATTCAAATGAAGTGTTGAATTTAAAAGATTATTTTGAAATACCCTTAAAGTCAAGCCTATTAAATATAAAATGCTCTGATTCACTGTTATATGATTTAAAAACAATAATTCATTCTTGTTCACAACTAAAAGAAAAGTGTTTACTTTTGTAAAGTAATTTTGGACCAGTTAATGTTTTTGTACCTCTCGTACACAACGCATAATGTCTGAAAAAACGTATAACTTCCTAAAAGATTCCCAACTGGGCAGGAACCATTTTTTGCCTTTAACAATGATTCAGGAATCTCAACCAGTTCAAAAGCAAACTACGCAAATAACTCCAATAAACACTCTGCTTCCTCTAAATACGCTGACTTCGTTGGAATCTTCGATGAAGACAGGTAAGCTTAATTTACATAAATAGATAATACTTTACATATTAAAGACTTGCAGTGCTTTTAGGAAAACCGTCTAATTTGGAATCTAAAATGGATACCTGCCTCAAAGAAATAATTTGCCTAAAAAATGAAAATCAAGGTACGTAAAGAAAATAAATTAGTTTCAAAATGTGTTTCGGCTTAAAAATTATCACTTGAAATTTCCAAATTTCAATAACATTGGACTCATGGATTAAACCTGTGGAAAACATTATGTAAATATGAAAATGTGCTTTCGAGTTTTAATTATTCAACATTCTATCCTTTCTTGAATTTATTACAAAAATTTTTGGGAATAACTTCATTCATAACTAGGTAGAATTATCTGTAATGCTAAACAATTATTGTTTCTATATTTTAAATTTGAAACGCAAATTACATGACTTGGATGAAGAACACAACAAAACTCAAACAAGGTTATTAACAGAAATTTTAAATATTAGGCGACTTCTTACTGAGAAGACCGCAACAAGTAATCGTGAAACGGCATTTCCAAAGACTCCTTTTGAAACAAAAGAGGAATTCCTACATTTCGAAGATGAAATTCAAAGAGATGCGGAGAAGGTTAAAATAATTGTATGCGCGATAAAATATCTATCTGCCACTTTTCTTTAATACAATGTACCTTTTCTATTTACTTTTCTAGGAAAACGAAATCTTTTTGATTGGCATCCCCGAGTGCGGAAAATTTGTGAGAGCTGTTTGGAAACGTTTAGTCATCGATGAAGTTGCTTGCCAAATAACATGGAAAAATGTTGATAATAAAATTTCGCTTCAAAATTTAGCCATAACTGCTGCGTTTAAAGGTATTTCTCTTTAGAAATGATGTTTTATTGTTTTAATTTATGCATTTTGTATTATATCTTTATAGAAGCCTATTTCAGAAAATTTTCTAACGAGGCGGATTTTAAGAAATTTACAACAAAATGGTTTCAAACTGCACGGGACCGTGTTAACTATAAAGCAAAACAAATCAAACTATAAATT